ATCACTCCATCTGCCGTGGATCACTGAGAGGGGCGGAGAGGTCTAGAAGGCGGGTAGGGTGGGCGAGCAGGCCCTACAAGCGTGCCAGCAGCCAGCTGCTGTTGTGGGCTCCCTGCCCCAGCCACACTGGCAGGCAGGCATCAGGCCCAAGTGCCCAGGACTAGGGAGCTTTCTGTACAATGGGGCGGCATCAGTGACCAGCACATGGATGGCCTAAGTTAATGAACGCTGAAGTGCTCAGAACGTGCCTGACTCACGGTGTGTGTTCCACAAGTGTTAGGCCTTATTATTCAACTGCTTTATTAGTTAGAAGTCAGGGCTCGGCAAAAGGGTTTATAATCTGGTGTAAAGGATACAAATCCACATTGTAAATACACTGTTACAGAAATCCTTTTCTAATCTAATCCTCCTTACTACAGTTTTAAAAAGAAAATCACTCCTACAAAGGCCTTTGAGTGTACAATGGGCCAGAAGTATCTGCACCGGGAAGAGCCAAGAGCAGCTAATGAGCAGAAGACTGGGAGCCCTGGCTCAGCCCGGGAAGCCGGCTGCCCTGTCAGAAGCCGTGGCCAGGCCCTCTGGGCTCTCCCACATGTGCTATTTCTGGGCCAAACACCTTCACACTTGTGGCTCTGTGACCCTAACCATGATCCCCACCCTGTATTCCTGGACCCTCCTCAGGGTCTGGGCTCCAGCTCTCACCCACGTGGTGCCCAGACTCTGCCAACGATTCCTGTGTTCTCCATGTGTGTGCTGAATCTGGCCACGGAGCACAGGCCCTGCCAGCCGGTCACCTGGGGCTCCTAGGCCCACCTCAGGGGACACCTTTCAAGCAGAGTGAGAGCAGCAGTCACATTCACGCACGTAGACGTCACCCCAAGGAACACATCGACAGACGCGAGCTGGTGTCTCTCGAGGCCCGTGAAAGGGACGCGGGCCCAGAAAGGGGGGCTTTCTGTTAGAACATCAGAACGCAATCTGTTGCTCAGCCTGACCGCACCACACCTGCTCGGGTCAACCGAAGGCATCAGCATTCCTGCATCATGGGTTACAAATTTACTGTGGAAATCACACAATACTCTGCAACCACTTTGGAACGTGTAACAACTGCTCCTATGGGGAAAATAATGAATTAAATGCTATTAGAGTGTTTAACTCATTCCGAGGAAAACTCCCAAAACAGCGATTATGAGTTATGACCACAATTTGCCACAACACTTTCCAATCTAAAACCAACACTAGTATTTCTCTCTTCCTTTTCAGAATTAAGCCTTTAAAATAAGACTTGGGTCAGACAGACTGTAAGATATGGTACTGAGGTATTTTTCCTAGTGAAGACAGACGCCAACTGAACATTGAATGGCTTATCCCAGAGGACTGACCACCACGGCCTCTGCTCGGTCCATCTGCAGGAACAACACAGTCGGGCGTCTGGCTGGATCTGAATGCTGTAGCCAGGGACCCACCAGGCAGGCTCCGCACTCCTGGGAGTGGCTGGGGGAGCTGCACACAATGACTCATGGGGGCAGGACAACAAGATGCTGCATCAAGGCGTCCAGGGAAGAGCCCGAGCAGACGGACATTGGTTTGTCACGTGCGTCAGCTGAGCCACATCCGCACACGGGGGAACGCAGCCGAGCTTGGCCAGCCACCACCTTTCTGCGCGAGGAGCCAGCGTGCGCGAGCGGAGCAGCCGTGGAGCAGCCGTGGAGCAGCGTGTGCCCACACTCTGCTGCGTGTCACACACTAACTGCTTCCCCAACAAGGCTGTGTGGCTGCGGATTCTTACCAAATTCAAGTTCAGTGAGGCGTTCTTTTGCCCCAAATTACAGACAGTAAGTGATATAAAGAGAACACAACCAACTCCGTCTAGTTCCTTTATCATCTTTTACGGGATCGAACATCAGGGTCAGACACCCTTCTCTGGTGGCCACCCTCCACGACCCGCCCAGAGGCTTCAGAGCCACAGGCCCGCGCAGGTTAATAACCCTCCCCGGCTCACCGCCGCCTGCAGGAGAAAGGCCACTGCTGGCACACACCTGACTACTGTTACTCTAGCCACTTCCTTACGAAGAGCAGTGCAGTGCACTGAGAAGTCCTAAACAGGTCAATTCTGCTTAAACACTAAGGTGTTCTTTCCCAATGACAAGACTGCGCTACCCACATTTTCATCCCCAGCAAAGACAAGTGGCCATGCTTCATTATTTGGGGGAACATGACTCATCATTTTCATTAATAAAATGATTTTGCATAAACCGAAGAAGCACCATGAGGTTCCAGGAACATCTGCGGTCACCTGTCCACACAGGAGCAGGATGGACCTGCTCTTCTCTCACTGTGGCTTCTGTGTGTCCGCGGTGATGTCCTCGGTCCCTCCCCTCTCCCTTGCACACTGCTTCAACCACCAGCAGTAACAAGTCTCCCGCATTCGCATCTCTAGCCAGAGCCCCCCACCAGACACCTCCACGATCTCCCCCAGGCCTTCACCTGCCCACAGTGAAATTCCTCACCTTCTGCCTGCCCCACCTGCCCACCCTCTCCTAACGCAGCATCCTTCTCACACCCCTGCTGCCCTCCAAAGGACCCCCAGGCCATTGCATTTCCCTAACATCTCGTCTGGGCCTTCACTCCTCCCTGGCCGAGGCCCCCACCTCTCAACTGGGCGGGGCCTCGACGGTAACTGGAACGCAGCTGCAGCCTTCCATCAGCCACGCTCTGCACTGAGGCTCTGCTCACACTGGTGCAGGGCCCGGTGAGCAGAGCACGGACTTGTCACAGGGTGCGTTCTGGAGCAGGTGAGGAGCAGGAGAGGAAGGCAGGCCTGGAGGCCACTCCAAGGTGTCTTGAGTTACTCCCTTAGCTCAGAATTATTCTAGTCTACAAAACACAAATTATTCCAAAGAAAGCACCACAGGCTCTGAGTCCCCTCCAAAGAGAGTTCCAGGAAAGTCATGGCTAATAACACCCTTACTGGGATCAGTCTTGAGCTCCTGAGGTGCTGATGTTAAAGGGGAATCGCTTACCTCAGTGGATAAGTGTTTGTGAAACTGAACTAACTGCATATAAAATATGAATGAAACTCCCTGAGCTGCCACTGCCACCCTGTGTGACCTCTGACCCTGCCATGAGCGCAGCACACGTCTTCCTGAGCATGTGCGGGTGTGGCCTGAAGCCCGAGCACTGCCGTGTGGGGACAGCTGGCCTGCCTCTGCACAACCACCTGCCACTCTGCAGAAAGCAGGCCGATTTCCTGGCGTGCGCCTGGCACCCTGATGTGTGCCCTCCATGGGTCAGCCCCCCAGGCGTCGGCCCACTGGGTGGCTAGGAGGAGAAGGGAGTCTGGAGGGCAGCGGGCTTGGGGCCAGTTCTCTGCCCGGGCAGCCAGTGTTCCCAGGGGCAGGCTGCCACCCCTGCCACCCCTGCAGGGCCTGGCCCCACAGGCACCTGCACACCCCCGGCTCCTGGGCAGGCGACACTCACCAGGCCACAGCTCCCACCGGGACCCCACGAGCTGTGACACGGTGACACCGAGCGGGACTCAGAGCACAGTGTGTGACTCAGTTGCTCTGTGGGCTCTGTGACCTTGGGAAAGCTCTGGAGGTTTGTGCCTCGTCTTCTTCAGCTGTCTAAGAGGGATAATTCCTGCTCACGGGCTTGCTGTGAAGACGGCACAAGAAACCTGTGTGCAAGGCTCGTGCCCTGGCCAGCTGGCCCAGGTGGCCGGCACACTGTTCTGTACAACAGAAGGTCTCGGGTTTGATTCCTGGTCAGGCACACCCCAGGCTGCATGTGGGAGGCAACCGATGGATGTTTCACTATAATGTCACTGTTTCTCTCTCCCTGTCAATTAAAAAGATTTTTTTAAAAAAGGTATTTATTAGTAAAAATAACAACAGTAATGCCTTGAAACCTGACCGAATACTCCCGTAGTTCCCATGTAAACAGCCCACAGCTTTATAGGGCACTTGTCAGTCACTCACATGTCCCTCAGGCAGGTACCAAGCCCTATTCCAGGCTCTGGGAATCGGGTCATGGAAGCAGACAAGGTCCCACGCTCAGGGTGCCTGTGCTCCACAGAGGGGGAGGGAATGAAGTGGGGCACAGGGACAGACGGCGGGGCCTCTCTGAGGACACAGCACGTGACCCCTAACAGATACGAGGACAAGGTGCCGACAGAGCTCAGCCGCACGCGTGCCTCGGTAGGAGAGGCCAGAGCTGGGGAAGACCGGTCCCTTCCTCAGTGGACCAAGCCATGGCGTGATGCCCGACGTACCTTCTGATCAGGAGACCTGGGGTGGAAATCTCCACGGATTACAGTCAGTTGCACCCACAATCGACTGGCAGCCCTGGGCAGGGCACTTGCTGCTTTCTGCCCAGGTGAAAGGAGAGGTAGCGGCGCACGGAGAGGGTCACGGAGAGGGTCACGGAGAGGGTCACGGAGAGGGTCACGGAGAGGACGAGGACTAACAAGTCCTGCCCCGTGAACCGCCGGGCAGATCGAGGGGCCGCCATCCGTCGGGCACAGCCACTGTGAACGAGCTGGCAGGGCCCCGGCCAAACCCACGGTTTCTCTGGAAACTCCCCCAGAGCTGGCACGACCGGCAGCTAGAGGACAGTAACTAAAGGATGTCACTGTCTTTTGAGCCATCGCTACGCTCTCTTCACGTCACCATAACACCCGCGATTCAAACACTGAAAGGCACCAGGGCACCGACCGTGAAAGACTGTTTAGTCTCGATGAGATTTTACTGCTGCTGAAAAGATGCTAATATTAGAATCATTCCAGGCGATTTCTCCTTTAGTTATGCTACTACAAATTTAAAATATATGAAAAGCATATATTAGGAAATCCAGTGGACAAACTATCTAAAATATTTATTTATACTTTTTAAAACTCAGTATAAAAACCAGAGCAAGGGCATTTAGGACGACCTCCTACTCAATGAAATATTCTTACCAAACGAGTTAAGAATAAATGCCTAGGCCGAGAAGCGCATTACCATTTGTATTTCTTCCGGGGACAGCTCGTCTTCACCTCTGCCATCGCCCCAGGTTCCCAACTCGGGCTGAGCTTCGGTTGGAATCTTTTCTGGTAAAAAGAATTAAACATAAATAGAAGGCAAAACAGTATTTAGAACAGGCTGGCTTAGGATGCAGACCCATGAAAAGTGTGAGCAGGAACAGAATCTTAGTGTCCATCTTCAGGTACCTGTTGGCCAACATTCAGGCATGGTGTGTGACTCTTACACAAAGTTCAGACGTGTGTGTGTGTGTGTGCAGGTTTGTGTTGGTGTGCGCACGTGTGTGCAGATGGATTTGTGAGCGGGGCAGGGACAGAGGGAATCTATGCACAGTTTCAGCACTGCACTGATTTCAGCAATGGCTGCAAACTAACAGGCATTCTTCCAGACCAGTCTTCCTATATTTTACTTCAAAACATACACACACACATACACATCCCTCCCTCTACTTTGTGAAGACTGCAAAGTGTATGGGCATTTTCACTGTAAGAAATACATCTGTATCATACATGCGTAAAGAACACAGGAACAAGCCATCCACGAATCCCGAGCCCTTGATGCTGTGATGTCGCCTCACACACACACAGTTCCCTGATCCCCCACCCTAGCCCGAACTCAGACAGTCGTGTGTGGGGCTTCGGTTTTACTCAAGTATCTCAGTGGCAACCACCGCTCTGCAACTGGCTTTTCACGAGTTAGTGTGCGTCCCGGAGGTCGCCCTGTGCCGGTCCACACAGGCGTCCTTTTAGATCGCGGCCCCGCGCCCCCTGCAAGGACCACTGACCACCTCTGCTCCTCAGGGGCAGGCGCCCCGAGCCTGGGGCAGTGCACCCTGGCGGCTGCAGCGCGGAGGGCGCGGTGCTGGGAAACTGCTGCCCCACGCGGCCCGCTGAGAGCACAGGCTCCGGACAGACGGCTGCGTGCGCGGGGCGGGAGGGCGCGTGGGGCGGGAGGGTGGGGAGCATGCTCCCCCTGGTGGAGACTGAAGTGGGGTCTGTACCTACAGGGACTGGTGTCTGGGGGAGCCCCTGGGCTTCTCGGTGGGCTGCAGACCCTCAAAGGCAATCACTGCTTCTTTCTCTTTCCTGCCCGTCTCAGTCCATTTCCAAGAGCTGACCTGAGCCCTTCAGGAGGACAGTCAGAGCTCTGTCCTCAGGCGGTCGGGCGGAGCGCGGTGCGGGCGCCAAGCTGGGGAAGGCTGCCGGCAGCCAGGGGACCGGGCGGCGGCTCGCCGCTCTGCCAGAACCGTCGCCGTGTCTGCGAGCGGCCTGCTTGCGGACCGCTGTGCAGACGCACAGGCAGACCAGGCTGCACGTGCAGACGTGCTGCCAGGCGACGGCCCGACACGCCTGCGGAGGGCTCGGCGGTGACAGCACCTGCGCCGCCAGCGCCCGCCCAGCCCGCCCTACGGCCTCACGGACCCACGTCGGCGTTGACTTGCACGTTAAGGACAAGGACACGATGTCAGGGACAGACACACGGTTCTCCTCCGAGCAAGTGGGAGTAGCTCGGGACCAGGCTGCAAGCGGGCAGGGGACCTGGGCTCACACCCAGGCCGCGTGTGGCCCCGGAGGCCGGCCCTGCTGTGAGGGCCAGCGGTGCTCCGCCCTGACCTCCCCCGCCTGCTGCCAGCAGACAGGCCGGCTTGCCTGGCCTGGCCCCCGCGCCCTGGGGTCGGCCCCACCGGCCTTCCCCCCTCGTTTCCCGCCCTCCGCCCTGGTCCGCGTGCCCGGCTGGCCGCAGTGCGCTCTGTACTGAACGCAGCCCCGCCTTCGGGCCTCGGGCAGTCACGTGCTCCCTCCGCCCTAGAAAGCAGGGTGGTGCCACAAAACGGGGCAGGTTTCTCCCCTCCTGCCGGGCACGCACAGTGCAGAGGCGGCCCCCCTCCCCTGAGACTCACATGTAAGATCCCTGAGCAGAGCTCTCCTTCACCTCCTCCACTCAGCCTCCAGTCCCACCGCCGGGGCACAGGGATGGCACCCTTCCTCCCGGACCCTGCCAGTTCCCAGGAGATGGGGTCCCTCCCAGCCTGTCCCACAAGCAGCCATGAAGGTCCAACTGTGACAGAAAGAAGGCTGCTGCTTCCAAGTCCCCCTGCTTCGGGAGAACAGAACAGCACAGGCCGCCTGGGCCTGTGGCCTCCCTGCGCTTTGTGCTTTTGCCAACGGGTCCCAGGAAGAGGTGCAAAGCAACATTCTGATTTTAGTCCGTACCTGGATACTCTTCAGTGACAGGTTTCTCTCCAGGGTCTTTTGAAGGGTCCTGTGAAACTTCCTCAGAAGACACGGATTCTCTTGTCTTTGCATTTGCTTCTGGCTCCAGCTTAGACCTAAAAGTAATTTGCAACCATATAGTTGACTTAAGCAGCAGCATTCCATTGCGACAACAGAAGGGAGTCACGCGTGACCCTGGCATGCTTGGTCTGCTCTGCGGAGAGCAGAGCCCTGCCGCAGGGTCCAGCGACCACCCTGACAGGCCTCTAGCAGGGCACCCATCACAAGGTCCTGGTGTCACGGTCTGCAGGGCGAGGACAGGGAGGGTGCGGTCAGCATGTGCCCACAGCTCAGGGACTCTGCCCCATGTACTGACACCACATCCACGTGTGGGCAGCAAAGGCTGCCTTTCCCAGTTCAGCAGATCCAGAAAGCTGGTTGCTTTACACCAGTGTGAAGTGTTGCTGCACAGACACCACACAAGCACACACCACACACGTGCACCTACGCCCATGACACAACACACAGTTGCACACACAACACTCACACACCTACACCCATTACACAACACGCGTGCACACACACCACACTCACACAGCAAGTGATGTCGTACAATGATTTAAATATGAAAGTCTTTTATTTTTTTTTAATCCTCACCCGAGGACATCTTTCCATTTTCTGTTCAGATAGAGTGGGAGGGAGGGAGAGAGAGAGAGAGAGAGAAACATGGATGTAAAAGGGACACCTCAAGTGGCTGCCACCGGCATGACTCAACCAGGGCCGGGGACAAACTGCAACCGAGGTACGTGCCCTTAGCGGGAACCAAACCCGGGTCTCTCTGGACCACAGGCCGACGCTCCACCCGCTGAGCCAAATCAGCCAGGGCAAAAGTACAAGTTTTTAAGCTTCCACTGGCTGGACCCCACCTGACTGCACTTGGCCCCGCCTCTGCACTCCTCCCACGCGGCATCATGTCCCACCTGCAGAGCCAGGCTCTCTCCCGCCCACGCAGAGGCTTCTCCGACTTTCCACCTAACAAAGCCTCCTCCGCTGCTCTGCACACAGCCCCTGCCTGTCCTCGCAGTCTGGGGTCACCCTGTTCCCTGCTCACTTGTTTACTGTCTGCCTCCCTCCACCACAGCGCCCGCTCCAGGAGCAGGTCCCGGACTCTGCACGTCCTGCTGGCTGTGTATCTAGATCCCAGATGAGTGTCTGGCATTCAGAGTTTAATAATTATATGGTGAGCGAATGGATACTTTTTAACTGTCAGTAAAAGGCTAATAAGAGAAGATCTTGGTTAGGAAACACCGAGTCTTGTGATGGCCTCACTGGCACGCACACGGCGCTATGAAATGACAGGCGAGTGCTGAGAGCGCTGACGAAGTCCCCAGCGGTGGGCAGAGACCGAGGACACCACCATGGGAACACGGGAGGGCGAGGCCTGCGCCAGCTGACATTTACTGAGGCTCATTCTGTATCGGGCGTTTCTTAAGCACTGTATATGGATGAATTTATTTACTATCACCCAAGCCCACGGCCTCAGGGACCTGCTCCGGAGGCCACGCTCCTGACGCCTGCCCCATGGCGAGCAGGCAGCGCCACCACGCTCCGCGAGGGCTTCTGCGTTCAAGTGTCTGAGAGTTGAGCCCAGCTGGACGGCTGCTCTGCTCCAGAATTTCTCAGAGCGAACATACTAAATTACATTTTGAATTTCCACAAAGGATGCCTTTTCCAAATACTCTGACCACACAGACCATTTTCATGAAGTTTTTTCAAAAGACTAGAGTTCTAAGACAGGCTATTTAGGAAACGCTCCTCTACGTCAGAGAAGGAATTTTCTAGAGTAACTGCGATGTCAGTCTCCCTAAGTGTTCTGGTTACTGCGGCTGAGTGACCACTTTAAAACGCAGTGCCTTGAAACAGCGATGGCTCACCACCCACCAGCGCTGCTGGGCTTAGGCACGTGGGAGCGGCTCGGCGGCTGATGGCAGCTGGGCTGCCTCCTCCTGCAGGCTCACGGGCGGGGACCCCCTTCCGTGGAGCTCGCCCACCTGGCTGTGAGATGGGGCCTGAGCGTGTCACTGGCGTGGCAGCTGGCTTCCGCCACAGTGCGTGGTCTCAGAGGTGATGGCAGCAGCTTCAACGCCCTGTGTAACTGACCCCAGAAGTCCCACACTGCCCTCTGCCACAGTCTGCTGGGAGGGCACAGACCTCACCCTCTCACTGGAGCAGTGACATCATCACTTTTTGAGAAGAGCATCTGGGTGCAGCCATCTTTGGGAAATGCAACCTGCTGCTCTAAGTATCACAAACATGCAGCGATATCACTACAAGGCCACACTCACCACAGCTCACTGCCCATAATAACAAAGGACTTAAATGTTCATCAAAAAGTGCCAGTTCCAGTTAGAAAACATAATAAAATAGAAACTCCATTTGTGATGCTAAAACAAAAGATAAAAAACCAGCAATAAAAGATTAAAAAAAAAAACAAAAAACACCTGTGGCATAAACCAGCTTAATAAGAAATGTCCAAAACCCATTTGCAAAAAACTAAAAAATGTTCTTAAGCAATGAAAAATACATAAAAGCAATAAAAAATATATACTGTAACAAATGAGAAAACATGTTCTTGGATAGAAAAGAGAAATATCATAAAGATATGAGCTCGCCCTAAATTGTAAATGCAACGCGATCCCACCCTGCAGTCCGAGGAGGCGAGTATGGGATGCATTGGAAACAGGCGAGAATGGCGGAGCTGCACACAAACATGACCTCTACTTGATGAGCTGCTCCGGGAAGAGGGCTGCCGCCCGCACAGCTGCATGAACGCGCAGGAGGGGCGGAGAGAGGAGCAAGGGCAGCACACGGTAAACGATGGCGGCAGGTGCAGGGGTGCTCACTGTGAAATCTGACTTTGCTATTGGTTTGAAAATGTGTACAACAAAGTGTGGTGGTGAGGGGGGAAGAAAAATAGCCAGGAAAACCCTAAAAAAGAATGTGATATTAGGGCATGAAAAGATTGAAAGACCAACGAAACAACAGAAAATTCAAAAAGACTCAGTAGACTGAGATATTTTCCATAGAATAAGTGGGGCCAGGATCAACAGGCAGTTGCATACAGGGGTTCTTCCCTCTGCTGCACAAACTCCAAACGTACCAGATTTCGATGCAGGAAGGAACTGTGCACGTGAGAACACAGCTTCACTCTGGCTCCCCCTCCACTGCTTCGATAATGAAACACCTGGCTTCCACTAACATCTACCACTCAAAGTTGCACCAAAGACTAAATAAAATAGACCAAAGAAAGTACCATGTCAAATGTAAGGACTTTACGAAGTCTGACGACTACTAATCAGAGTGTAGAAATTACTGAGGGCCTCACAGGTAGGTGCCTCACAGGTAGGTGCCGCTCAGGCAAGATCCTAAAAGCAAGACTCTGCCGGGCACAGAGGGCAGAAAATACAGGGTATGCAGGGGAACCTAGGAGTGAACTTGGGGAAATAGTATTTGGCTGTTTCTAATGAAGAATTATTTCCTACTCCCACCAGCCACGGGTGAGACTTCCAGTCACTCCAGAGCCTCCTCAACACCTGTCGCTTTTATTTGGACCATTCTAATAGGTGTGAGATGGTGCACTGTGCATGACTGATCTTGCTGTTCAACAATCTCACACACAGAAATGTCTCAAGTGCAAGGAACCCGTTTTCCCCTGGGCCAGCAGGCAGTTGCCAAACCAAAGCCCTTCACCTCTGAGCATCTTAGTATTTACTTCCTAAACACAAAAGCACTGTTTGGTATTCAACCAGAATAAACTATCAAAATCAGGAAATTCATACCCAGAAGTTACTTCCACCTTTTCCCTGCACCCCACTCTATTTTGACCAGTTATCCCAATAATGTCCTTTATAACAACAGGACACTGCTCAGGATCACACTGTGTCTAATGTTCATTTCTCCATCTCCTTTCGTTTGAGATAGCTCCTCAGTCCTTCCCGAGTTCCATGGCCTCAATACCCAACCCTGTGCCAGTTACTCAGGAAGACGTCCTCAATTTGAGTCTGTCTGACCTTTCCTTGTGGTTGGATTCAGGTTATGCATCTCTGGCATTAAAAAAAAGTGATATCTATTCATATTCCTCTCCTGGCATCCTATCACGTCGTGTGATTTCACTGTGACCACCTGACGGGGGTGCCTGCCAGGCTCCCCTCATAAAGGTCTTCTTTCCCCTTTGCCAATAAGAGGACTGGGGAAGGGAACGCTTTGACACTACATAGTTATGAACTTCAAACTTTCAGCCTGTTCATTTATTTATCACTACGGAGATGACTCATAATGTCCTATTTCACTCGGTGGGTTATAGTCGCTGCCACCGTGGATTTTGATGCTCTGTCTCCAGTTTGGCCAGCAGAAGCTCCCTCCAGATGGCGGTGTCCTTCTGCACATCCCAAGCATTCTCTGGGCCCCAGGCTCACTGTATACTTGCCCTGCCCAGAACAATTCTGCAGAGAGCCCTGGATCCTGGAGCTGAACTGCTCTGAGGCCAGAACCTGGGAGCTACATGTGTTCGTTGCCCCTGGGGGGTCACTGGATCCAGGCCCCCGCATGGACAGCACTGGAAACCCTGTGTGCATTGCATACCTGTACATACGCACACACACAACCACATTTATTTCTATGTCTGTCTATGTAGACTGCAAGCCATGAGTTCACACCAGTATCTTCCATTCCAATCCAACACCACAGGGTTCATGCTGGTTTTTCCCTTTTCATCTCCAACAGTGAGAAACCTGGCTTCCATTTTCCTTATGGTGTTTACTATCTGATTACCCCCTGTGCATGACCAACCCACCGTCTCCAGGCCGCCCCTCCCCACGCGGATGCAGCGGCTGCTCCTCACTCGGGCTCCTCGGCTTGTGCCCACACTGACCTGCTCTGGGGCACCCATCATGGCACACACCCACCTCACTCTGCCCCACTGCAGCCTGCTGGACTGCGTCGTTCACGGTGCAGAGCTTAACTGACTTCTATATATATTTTTATCCTTACCCAAGGACACTTTTGCATTTATCTTGAGAGAGAGTGGGAGGGAGAGAGAGAAAGAAACATCAGTGTGAGAGAGACACATCAAGTGGCTGCCACCCACACGACCCCAACCAGGGCCGGGGACAAATCGCAACCGAGGTACGTGCCCTTAGCGGGAACCGAACCCGGGCCTCTCTGGTCCTCGGGCGGACGCTCTAACTGCTGAGCCACACTGGCCAGGCTTAACTGACTTGTAAATAAAGGGTCAGGCTTTGTGTCCAGAGTCACTGATGCGCCAACTTCCACGGCAACAAACAAAGGCTGCAATGCGACAGACTCCAAGTCCAGTGCTTTCTCTTAAGTGATAAAAACAGATCCAATTACACACAGAACGCCTACGGAAATCCCTCAGGGAAATTACAAATTATCTAGTTGAAGGCAATTTGAAAAAAGCCACTTTTAAAAGGTCACCAGAAAGATCAGTTGACGCCCACAGTTTACTTAATTTCTCCCAATGAGGCAAGGACTTTCACAGCTGCGGTCAGCACCCTTCCCACATGCCAACGTCTGTCCCCAGGCCCCTCAGTCGAAAAACCTTGGGATCCTAGTTAAAATTTTTAAAAAACAGAAAGAGATAGAAAAGTGCATGTGAAGCAGATATTTCAGTTTTGAAACAAGAAAATACGTTGGAGAACTTCTTTGCAAACCTTAAATAAAGCCCTACACACATAGTAAAGTAATTCATATGCCGGGTTCAACGCTTCTTTTATGCCCCCAACAAAGGCTGCAGGCAGGAAGAAGACACACCTGACCTGCAGTGAGACAGCACCATCACGTCGAAGCGGCTTCACATGAAGGTGCCCCCAGGCATGGGAACCGTGCCCTCCAGGGGCAGGAGAGTCTCACGCTGCCCTAAGCCCGGGCACTGCAGCCATTCACTCCTGCGTCGATGCTCATATACCACACGTGAGGCACTTTCCAGGCCAGTGCTGCTCAGTGGGTGCACGAACCAGAACCAGACTAACGGACTGGCTGCTACCGGTCTGCTCTGAGATACGCACAGAAATGGACGCACTGCAGCAACCTGACGCTGAGAGCTAATCAGTGGGCTCAACTCCAGCTCCGCTGTCATCAAACTCCTGCAGTGGGTTCCCTGTGAACGTATCCTGTGCAGCAGACACCCCTCAGTCCACGGTGACCGCAAACAACAAGCAATGAAAGTGGCCCTTCCTCCGGGGAGCCTGCCCGAAGCAGGGTGGGCGCCCTTCTGTGAAGGCCAGTGGCACATTTCAGGCTTTGCAGACCACATGTGGTCTCGATGCCACATTCTTTTTTCTTTTGTTTAATTAACCTTTAAAAATATAAAAGCCACCCGGCTGGTGTGGCTCAGCGGTTGAGCATCGACCCACGAGCATCGACCAAGAGGTTGCCAGTTCGATTCCCCATCGGGGAACATGCCCAGGTTGTGGGCCTGATCCCCAGTGGGGGGCATGCAGGAGGCGGCCAATCAATGTTCTCTCTCATCAATGTTTCCATCTCTTTCCTTCTCCCTTCCTCTCTCTCTGAAATCAATAAAGAAAAAATATTTAAAATATATGTATGTATGTATAAGCCATGCTCAGCTGGAGGCTGTACAAAAAGAGGCGAAGGCGAGTGCTGGCCTGGAGCGTGGCCGCGTGGGCAGTGAAGACAAACTCCAAGTGGGAAATGGGGAGAGGTGGTGAAAAGTGCAAACTTCCCCTCACAAGACGAACAAGGTCTGAGGATCTAATGTGAACACAGTGAACACGCCCGGCCGGTGGGGCTCAGTGGCTGAGCGTGGGCCCCTGCACCAAGAGGTCACCGGTTGATTCCCAGTCAGGGCACATGTCTGGGTTTCGGGCTGGACCCCTGGTAGGTAGGGGGTGATGTTTCTATCTCTCTCTCCCTCTCAAATAAAAAACATTTAAGTAGCACTGTGTTATATAATCAAAATTCACTGACAGAGAACTTACATGTTTTCACCGAGAAAGAAGAAGGTAATGGGAGGTAATGAATGTGCTGATCAGATGGCAGGAACCCTGCCCCGTGTACACGTCAGCACGGCGCACACTTTAAGTAGCTTACACTTTTATATGTCCACTGTACCTCAGAAAAGTGAAAATTTTTAAAAAGACAAATTCACTGCTACGGACCTAGAATCACATGTTCTTGTTTTTCTTCACATCATCTTCACTATCGTCGTCAGCATCCTGAGTCACTGACAAAACTGACCGATGGAGTTCTTACTGCGTCTCAGACACTGGGTCAGGGGCAGTGGATCCAAAGAGGCAAAGACAGTTCTGCCCCCACACTCTGCAGGCTGGTTGGGGTGAGAGGCCTGAACCACAGACGATGACATGAGTACATTCTTTAAGGACCAAATAAGTATGGTGAGAGTACCAATGTTTTGCCTTTTTAAAAAAAGGAAGAAAAATGGAATGCAGCAACATTCTGATCTCTTGTACTAACTTACAAGAGGGAGTAATAAATAACTCAAGGTCACATACGTGGCCATGGGGTGGCAGGGTTTTCTAGAGGGGATTTGCCAGGGGTTTCCAGCGTGGAGGGCTCCACGGGAGCAGGGCCCTGTGGGAGCTGTGGCCGGGCCCTGCGAGCACTCGGAGAACCCTGCACACTAGTGTCCTGCCGCGTGGAGCACGGACAGTTTTCAGAGCAGCACTGAGGCCACCGCTTCCCTCGGAGCGCCTAGGGATTCTCACTTTCACGATCCTGGGGATTTACAGCAGGACGCACTAATGCCTGGGCGGTTCACTTCAAGCTACATAGATGGACTCAGAGGTGCCCGAGCTGTCCAGCCTCACAGGCTCCTGGTCAGAAGCTGCCCAGTGTCAGGAGCAGCCACGATCTTCCCGGCCAGTGTACTTTATCCTCTCCATCTCCCCTGAGACAGAGAAAGAGCCAAGTGTTTCCACTCTGAGCACAGCACTGTCGGACTGAAAGCGACGTGCTCGGATGGGGCTGAAAGCCAGCACTTGCTCAGGCACATCGGCTGTTGGTGGACACAGGACCAGACAACCCATTTGGCAAGACTTCTAGAAACAGCTGTTTGGAAAAAAGGCCTCCTGTTGAAGTTGGGATATGTCCCTGGACTTGTGTATACTTTATTATGCCTCTGCAAAGAGAATCCTCTGCAGTAGTAGAAAAAAGTAACAGAGGCTAATTCTGATTTCCAGATTGCTACCTTATACCTCTTCTCCCCAAAAGGAAAGCCAGGGATACACAAGCTGATTACTTTCTGGAAAAGGGAAATGTTTCTGATGAATTCGGATGGTTTTTAATTAGAGTACATACCCAGGGGGGTATATGATGGCTATTTCAACTTAAACCTTAATCAAAATATTAATGCTTTAAGGGGTCAGGAAGATAAAGGACATTTTCAAACCCTTTGGTGTGACAAGGCCGCCCGTGTCAGTGTTGTGTCCAGGACTGGCCCACAGCCTTTCCAACTTAGAAGCTCTCACTAGTAGACCTGAGGAGCCAGGCATGAACGACTGCACCCGCTCCCTCCCTCCCTCCAAGAACTACGAACCGGGCACCGCCTCTGCGGCAGCTCCGATCAAGGCCAGGCGCGGGGAGCTGAGGGAGATGATGGCCCTGCCGTCTAAGGACTCGCAGTCTCGCAGCAGGAGAAAGAACAGAGATGCAGCCCAGTGACAGGCTCACCGCCCCTCAGGTCCTGCTTACAGCAGCTGGTGGCAGGCGCCCCTGCCAACTCAGTGCAGTGGCAGGGGAGGGGCAGAAACAGTCACGTTTAACAAAGGGACTGTCCTTTTAAGAAAAATAGTCACGATGGAACAATGCAGGAAGTTCAGCTGTGACTCCTTCTGACTTAGTGAGCAGCACACGGCACCCCACCTGGAATGAGGCAGGACAGACCCGGGCGGCTCGCCCTCCACAGAAACAAGTGCAGCACAGGGCCCCCTGCTCCTCTGCTGAGAGGGCGGACAATCAGCTGCCCCTGCCCAGCGAGGACTCTGCTCTTCTATGGAAACACAAGTACGACAGCACAGGCCCCTCTGCTCCTCTGCTGAGAGGGCGGACAATCAGCTGCCCCTTCCCAGCGAGGACTCTGCTCTTCTACGGAAACACAAGTGCGACAGCACAGGGCCCTCTGCTCCTCTGCTGAGAGGGCGGACAATCAGCTGCCCCTGCCCAGCGAGGACTCTGCTCTTCTATGGAAACACAAGTACGACAGCACAGGCCCCTCTGCTCCTCTGCTGAGAGGGCGGACAATCAGCTGCCCCTTCCCAGCGAGGACTCTGCTCTTCTACGGAAACACAAGTGCGACAGCACAGGGCCCTCTGCTCCTCTGCTGAGAGGGCGGACAATCAGCTGCCCCTGCCCAGCGAGGACTCTGCTCTTCTACGGAAACACAAGTACGACAGCACAGGCCCCTCTGCTCCTCTGCTGAGAGGGCGGACAATCAGCTGCCCCTTCCCAGCGAGGACTCTGCTCTTCTACGGAAACACAAGTACGACAGCACAGGCCCCTCTGCTCCTCTGCTGAGAGGGCGGACAATCAGCTGCCCCTTCCCAGCGAGGACTCTGCTCTTCTACGGAAACACAAGTACGACAGCACAGGGCCCTCTGCTCCTCTTCTGAGAGGGCGGACAATCAGCTGCCCCTGCCCAGCGAGAACTCTTCTCTTCTACGGAAACACAAGTACGACAGCACAGGGCCCTCTGCTCCTCTGCTGAGAGGGCGGACAATCAGCTGCCCCTTCCCAGTGAGGACTCTGCTCTTCTACGGAAACACAAGTACGACAGCAGCAACAGTGCCATGAAACATGAGCACTTGGGCTTCTCAAATCTATTCTGTAAGACTGATGTTTAGTAATCATCACCGATCAAAACAAAATAACAAAAATAAAGAACGCACTCATCCAACTTGACAACAAACGGACTCCACTCACAGTCTTCAGGACACGTGTCATTGGCTCATCAACAGTCCCAACCTTGGTGGGCAGTGTTCTGCGTGATGGGCTGGGGTGGTGGACAGCAGCTCTCTGAGAGTGTGTCACCCCGAGCTGACAGTGTAAGGGGACCTGCAGAGAAAGGAGCACTGACATGGCCCACGGGAGCTGGGACTCTTTACAGAGCAGGCGACATCTCCTCTGGGGCGGGAAGGGTGAAAAGGAAGGAGTCTGCTTGCCAGACAACAGGAAGAGGGGCAGAGACTGAGCATATGTGACGGGCATTCTGGGCACATAAATCAGCAAGGACTGCGGCACAAGGGCTTCAGAGAACACGGCCTCGTTAGAACACCATGTACTCACGTATGCCAGAGCATAAATCCAGGGGATCGACTGAAAACCAAAGGCCACTCCTGTCGCTACGGACCCCGAATGCCATGCTGCTGAGTTACGCTTTGCAGGGACGGAAGCAAAGGAGCACTAACACGTCACATGTGTTCTGGCAGATCCTGCTGGGGCGAGGTGAGGCGAGGACTAGACGGGAGGCTGGATGACATGGTGAAGGGCCACGGTTATCTCCCTCAGGGTCCTGTGCTCAAAGTAATTGGCACAGGGCAGCTACTTGGCAGGAGGTGAGGCTGCACTTCACTGTCTAAATGAGAACAATTCCCATCTGACTGGTTTTAATTTGTGAAAAGCTCTGCTGAGACCCAGGGATGGAGGAGGCAGCAGCAAAAGCCTCTTCTTACTTTACGTGGAGCACTTGTTAAGTCTCAAGTGTCAGGGTCCGCCTGGGACAAGGCAGCAGAGACTGGGATCTCGCCCTCTGGCGGGTGAGACCAGTGCCCACACCCTCTCGACAGTGATCATCCATCACCAGAGGCTGCCCTTGTCCTCCGAGACGGCCTCAGACACTGCCTGCACCCTCCCCCAGCCCAGATTGGGTTCCTCCTCCCCCATCCCTTCCCCAGGGACTGTTCTTTCAACGCCCAACACCAACCCATTGTTAGAGAAATCTAACCCAGTTAGCTGGAGGTTCAAATCCTAGTCCAGCTGTGTGATGCTGGGCTAGTAACCCAGGTTCTCTGAGCCTCGATTCCCTCGAGATATTAATATTTATTAATCGAGTGGTTGTAAGGATTAAATGAAATAAGTGAACATACTGCCGGACACATGATAAATACTTAACAGTAGGTAATAGTATACATTAACATATAGTAGCTGAGGGTGTTACCTATCTCGACTCACTTTGTTCTCACACCACCACAACAAGGTAGGACTATGAATTTTTCCATTTTACACAGTGAAGAAACTAAGGCACAGAGAAGTTAGGCAATCTTCCCGAAGTCACGCGTGTGCAAGTGGCAGAGCCCAGATTTGAACACAGGCTGTCTGCAGAGTCTGGGCTCTTAAGCACTAGGCTATGCTTCTCGGTAGTTCCATTTCCCCCTCTGAACTTGGTGCTGGCCTCACTAATTATGACATATCCTGATTAGGTTGGCTAACTGTCCATGTCTACAGAGCCACCCAGCCTGACTGAGCTCTGTGAGGGCAGAGACTTCATCCCTTCTCTCTGCTGTGCTCTCAGGGCCTGTGTAATAAGCACTGTCTGCTGACAAGTAACTTGACTCATCTCCTTACTCTCTCCCACAGATGCTTCTATTGGTTGGCATTTGCAATTTCAAATCTGTTTCACACGTGTACAGAAACAGCACAGAGGCCCGAGACCGCTCTCCTTAGAAAGACCTCCTTGCCAGATGAGCCGTCGGCTGTGTCTGGGAGCCTGGACTGTTGTCCCGCCCCGCCGATGGGAGCGGCTGGCTGTGCTGAGCCGGGGTGCACACAGCATGGTTCATGCTAACAGCCAGGAGTTTCGGTGTAGGCCAGGTAGCAGGAGCCTACCCGTCCAGCTGCCACTAAAACCCCTGAGCAGTGAGTACTGAGCCTCCCTGGTGGACACCACTTCACCCGAGTTGTCAGTCCATCCTGTTGAGTCCCCTGGAGAGGACTCTGAAAGGGTGCTCCTGGCTTCCCCGCACCCGCCTGTGCACCTCGTCCCCTTGCTGCTGGCTCTGCATTCTTGCACTGTGATAAATCACAGCCCTGGGTAGGCTGTATGCCGAGTCCTATAATTCCTTCCAGCAAATCACCAAACCTGAGGGTGGTGTTGGGACCCCAACACAACGGAAATCAGAAAATTCATCCCCAAACAGTATGTAATGTTATCTTCTGCATAAACACCCTGGGTAGAAGTGACCAAGAGTCAGACCTGGACCCAGCACTCCAGGTTCATCAGCGTCCAGACCCGGGCTGCTGAGCAGCTGTGAGGACCAGTCCCTGTGCTCTAGACGCCGGCGCACAGCCCAGCACGGGGCCTGGGCGGGGGAGCACACGGGTACCACAGGAGACCCTGAGGTCAGGCTGGGCTGCACTCTGCTGTGCAGACTCGGGCGAGCCATCAGACCTGCTGGAGCTTCCCTGTGCTCGCCTGTGGGTGCTGGAGGGGACTCATGCTCTCGAGAGGGAGGTCTGGTTTGGGGGCACTGCCAGCTGTGCCCAGCTCCCCCCTCAGGAACACACTTTCAGAGACAGCAGGAGGGCCGTGGGGGTCAGCAAGGCCCAGGCAAAATGGCTAAGCTGCCAGCCTCCAGGGTGACCAAGACAACAAAATGGGTAAGGGCACGCGTTTTGGACCAGGAGCCTAGGCTCGAACCCCATCTCTACTCCTGCCTGGCGGTGGGACCATGCGGTGAGTTCCCTGACCCCTGAACCGCAGCCTCCCCACCTGTGAAATGAGGACAGCACAGACCCGCCTCATGGGGCTGCTGTGCGTGAGGGAGGCCGAGCACAGGCCTGGCAGGTGGTACGTGCTCAACAAGCACCTGTTGCCGCGCCTGGCAGCCCGCAGCGTGGTCCCCTAAAGCAGAGTGCTCTACATGATCACCATCATCATCACTACCATTAATCACGGACCCGCCAGAGACAATACTTACAATCTCTTCTTATCCACCACTCGTTTAACGCGGATGGCTCTCTGCTCCGAGTACAGCTTGCAGACTCCTGTTGCAGAGCAAACACCAGAACACAGACCATTTAGAACAGCTTCTTAGGCAAAGGGATCATCAAATATAATGAGACCTGTGGTCTTCAGCGAGCAAAGCTAATTGTGCATCTCATTATTGTGACATGCCACATTTGACCTTTAAGCAAAAATGAAATACTTTTTAAGTAATCTTCAGTGAAGTCCAGAACAGCATTCCTGTGCTCCTTCACTTGCTGGGAATGTATCTCCTTGAGGGCTGCAACGGGAAAAGACAAGACTTAGGTCTGTGCGCTCGATTATGCTGAAGACAATGCATCAACTTCCTTAGAATGGTCGTTTTATCCAAAGTATTTTAAAATCCAACTATAAAACAAGGGCGGTGTCAAGTGACACTGCATTTTTAGAGTTAAGAGCATCAGGCTTTATAAGAGTGAGGATCGACCTGGAGAAAACTACAGTCACACAGTTGGCGGCCTTTTGCAGCATGCAAGGATGTGCTGGTGCGCCCCACTTCTTCAGAGCTGACCCGGTTTGCATCAACAGCATCCAATGCTCAAGCTGACCTTGAAGTAACATGCTGAAATCACACCCAAACCACACGCCCGGCTGCCCGAGTGTGCTGCCAGCGGGGGACGCTGTGTCCTCTCCCTCAGCCACTCACGGCCGGGCCCTGCCGACACGGAGCTGGGCTCCTGGCCACAAGGATGCCTTTCTCCTGCCAACTCGCATCTTCTCCAAGGCGGAGCCACTGCCTGGCAGGACGGCTCCCGCTCCTGGAGGGGCACCTGCTCGTGCCGCACAGACATCCCTGCAGTCGGGCTAGCACTCCAAGGCAACGAGGACCGCGCTCTTCTACACGAGGAAACTAAGGTCCAGAGTCAATAAGGAGCCCGGGTGTCAGCGCTCGGTTCTTAATTCCTGGTTTTAATATCTTCGTGTGTATTTTCTAGGTTATGTTAGGTCAGTCCAGGCCCTTAAGGGCACAGGCATGATTTATGTTACTGCTAGAGGGCCAGTTCACCGGAGAGTCAGGAGAGGGACTTGGCAGACCCTCGAAACTGTGCTTCACAGACTCTGAGCGGCCCTCAGGGCAGTAGTGGGGGAAGCCCCCAAACCGAGTCTGTCCAGAGCAGAGCAGCAGGGCACTCTGACCTCTGCGCTGCGGGGCGCTCTGCCTAGCAGACCCAACAGCACCAAGGGAGACGGGGGCCCGGAAGCTGTCCCCGTGCCTCAGTAGAGTTGCATGTCGACGGCAGCGAGATGGAACATCCACAAGGTGCAGCTATGGCTCCGAGCTGTGAGAATCCAACTTTCACAGCTCCGAGAGACGTGTCCCGTCACCGTCTCCACCTCACAATGAAGAAACCGAGGCCTGTGGCAACTGAGAGACTTGTCCAATGCGTATGGCTAGAACCTGGAGGAGTGGGTGGCCCCTCAGTAACCATGGCCCCAGAGCCTTCCTCTTAACCATGAGAGCCTGATACGAACATCAGCTTTAACAGCCGGTCAGAAAGCTCAGATCACCCTCTTTCATCCACACGCACACCATCAACCACTGCCCGGCTGAATGCCACCACATGTGAACACACACGTACACACCATCAACCACTGCCCGACTGAATGCCACCGCGTGTGCACACACACGCACACACCATCAACCACTGCCCGGCTGAATGCCACCACGTGTGCACACACACGTACACACCATCAACCACTGCCCGACTGAATGCCACCACGCGCACGTACATGCACACACCATCAACCACTGCCCGACTGAATGCCACCGCGTGCGCACACACACGCACACACCATCAACCACTGCTCAACTGAATGCCACCGCGTGCGCACATACACGCACACACCATCAACCACTGCCCGACTGAATGCCACCATGCGCACGTACACGCACACACATCAACCACTGCCCGATTGAATGCCACCGCGTGCGCACACACACGCACACACCAACCACTGCCTGACTGAATGCGACCGCGTGCGCACACACACGCACACACCATCAACCACTGCTCAACTGAATGCCACCACGTGCGCACACACACGCACACACCATCAACCACTGCCCGACTGAATGCCACCACATGCGCACACACACGCACACACCATCAACCACTGCTCAACTGAATGCCACCACGTGCGCACACACACGCACACACCATCAACCACTGCTCAACTGAATGCCACCACGTGCGCACACACACGCACACACTATCAACCATTGCCCGACTGAATGCCACCACATGCGCACACACACGCACACACCATCAACCACTGCCCGACTGAATGCCACCACATGCGCACACATACGCCATCAACCACTGCCCAACTGAATGCCACCGCGCGTACATACACGCACACACCATCAACCACTGCCCAACTGAATGCCACCACGTGCGCACACACACGCACACACTATCAACCACTGCCCGACTGAATGCCACCACATGCGCACACACACGCGCACACCATCAACCACTGCTCAACTGAATGCCACCACGTGCGCACACACACGCACACACTATCAACCACTGCCCGACTGAATGCCACCACATGCGCACACACACGCACACACCATCAACCACTGCTCAACTGAATGCCACCACGTGCGCACACACACGCACACACCATCAACCACTGCCCGACTGAATGCCACCACATGCGCACACACACGCACACACCATCAACCACTGCTCAACTGAATGCCACCACGTGCGCACACACACGCACACACCATCAACCACTGCTCAACTGAATGCCACCACGTGCGCACACACACGCACACACCATCAACCACTGCCCGACTGAATGCCACCACATGCGCACACACACGCACACACCATCAACCACTGCCCAACTGAATGCCACCACATGCACACAGATACGCCATCAACCACTGCCCAACTGAATGCCACCGCGCGTACATACACGCACACACCATCAACCACTGCCCAACTGAATGCCACCGCACGTACACGGGCACACACACGCACACACTCATCTTCTCTGACCCTGGTCCCTTACTGAATTTTTAGCTGTTTGGAGAGGTCCTTTCCACTCCCCTCCTCCCATTTATTTAACTTGAATTATGGCCTTTTCATTGCTTTGATCAGGTTAAAACACAGATCGGGAAAAGCAGGGCTTTAAGCTCTAAAGCCTGAATACAAACAGGCACACAGAGGGAATGCGAACTGGCGGCGCCACGGGACCCGCATGGGCTTCGGGTCGTGGTTGCCTGCCTGCATCACGAACAGCTCACCTTGGTTTCTCAGCTGCTGAATTGCTTCTGAGCAGGTCCTGATGAATGTCTGAGCGTCCTGGTCTATCTGGTCGCGTTCTGAGTCTGTCATCCTCCCATACTCAGACACGAGGTGGCTGGAGAGGAGAGCAGGCATGGGCAACATGAAAGGGCAGCAGCGAAGGCGCACAGTGCAGCCTGGACAGGGTGAGGAGGGGCTGGCCAGGCCCGAGGTGAGAGAATGATCCAGCTAGGGGAGTCGACACTGGGAAGGCGCAGGTAGAGACCAAACCGGAGCAGCCCAGGGCAGAGAGGGAGGTGGGCAGGGGGGTGTCCGGCTGGAGCGCAGGCCTCGTTAAGAACGTGGCTTTGACCGAGAGCCACGGCAGCCCTGCAGCGTCCACACGGCACTGGCAGAGGTGAGGTCTGCGTCAGGACACCCGGGCTGCACGGAGAGCAGCGGGGACACTCTCCAAGGCGAGCAGAGGTGTGGGAGACACTATTTCAGGCTGCCATTCCCCATGTCGACAGTCTTCAAAACTCACAGTGAAAGAGCTTTTAGAGACAGAGTTCATCTCCCTTGAGAGTTAAACCCCTAAAGTCAGTGAGCCAGTGAAAGTACTTTCAGTAATGAGCACCCCGAAGCTCAGACACCTGCTCATTATCATAAGATCTGGGTAGGTATGGCAGCTTTATTATTTATGGTATTATTTGCCTAAACACTCTGGACATTACAGCTGAAACTTATAACCACCAAATATCAAGCTGAAGGAAAATGCAGAAGCTGGGGACTGCTTGCACAGCCGCTGGAGGATGGAGACCAGAGGGCACCCTGCGGTTCCCACCTGGGGCCAGGTGAAGCCAGACTCCAGGCAACCAGTTAGGAGGCTACTGCAGAGTCCAGGAGAGACAAAGAGAACCTGGCTGAGGCCCCGCTCGTGGGGAGAGAGGAGTGTTCCATCTGACAGACACTCCAGGGACCGTGGACTGACAGGGCTTGGAGACGACGAGAAGCCAGGGTACAGAGCGCAGAAGACAAACACGGGGAAGGGAAGAGTGAGGTGCGGGCCACAGACGGCCTCGAAGTTTAGGACATGACGGATGAGGACGGGGAGCAACTCCAAAGAGAGTGCGTCTCCTTTCTCTGCGATACTGAAGAGCAGCACTAGCGAGACAACGGGCATCAGAAGCACAGTCATCAAAGGCAGCGAAGGCTCGCTGGTCACGTACCCCCCGATTAAGTACCCCAAGACAAAGTTCCGACGATTCTGAAAAGGTCACCATCTGAAAACAATTCCAAAAAACATATTCTCATAGGATGTGCATACACACATTTATGCTTCAGTTTCCTTTCCTTTATGATGTAGAGAAATAACTTCACCACAGATCTCAGTGTGTCTGACCATGAGGCTCACTTAAAGGACACTGTTTATGTTAGGTACAGGTTTGGATTGGTCAACTTACTTCAGGGAGAAAGGAGGAAAATAGGATAGTTAAAGTTCATTCAATGGTTCAGAAATTTAAAGGAATATATATATTGCTTTATTTCTTATTTTATTGATTAGAATATTAAGAGAATTCAAAATCACAACACACCTCTGACATTCTGCTCGTTGATTTCATATGCAACTAGACATTTCCTGAGGATAGGGAAGAAGAGAGTAACAAAACTATTTCACACTGTTCAAAGGTCACTGAAAAAGTGTGGACAAACCTTAAAGATTACAATTGTATTTTGACTATAAATATTAACAGATTAACTTTATAATGTATACTGAGCATACAATATGGGCAAGGTACTATACAATACTGTTGTCCATAATATATGCCCAGTATACTTTTTTTTTTGGTACGTGCCCCTAACCGCTAGGGCCTAGCGGGAACTGAACCCGGGACTCTCTGTCCGCAGGCCGACACTCCAACCACTGAGCCAAAGCAGCCAGGGCCCCAGTACACATTATTAAATTAAACTGTTCATGTCTGAGCTACAGACATAAAGAAACGACAGAACCTGCTCTCAAACTGTATCACAACAGGCGACATGCACAGTGTGGTGCTGACAGGCCGTGACGAGGCGAAGTCACACCACACGCGCCATGAACACTGCTCACTGCTCGGTGCCCCCCGGGCACTGACCACTTAGCACTCGGAGCTCCAGGAGGTTGGCACTATCATAATCTCCATTCACACATGAAGCAACTGAGGTACAGAGAGGTTAATTTGCCGAGGTCACGCAGCTAGTACTTAGGAGAGCTGGGCTTTGAGCCAGGGCATCCGGCTCTGGAGTCTATACTCTTCACCACCCAGGGCAGGAGAGTTCAGAAGAGGCCAGGATGCTCACTCCCCACCAGTTGATGAGGAGGAAGGTGATGGATGGATGGAATCTTGACAGGCAGGACGTAGCCGTGGGGAGACAAGAGCAGACACTGAGGAAGTAACAGGAAGGAATCGGGCAGAGGGAGCCCATCTGAGAACAGGCAGTGGTTCCGTTTGGCGGGGGCGCGGGACAGGTAGAAGGATGAGTTCCGGGTGGGCCTCCAGTGAAGGTCAAAGGCATTTTCTTCTGTAGCCAATGGCAGGGCTGAGCTTGACGAAGATAAAGGTGGCAATACCATGTTAGATGGAAAAGAGGGGGAAGATCAGGCGATGGGTGATGGAGATTCAGTAGAGAACCCTGCCCCGCCGTCCCCCTGCCCCGCCGTCCCCCTGCCCCCGCTGTCCCCCTGCCCTGTCGTCCCCCTGCCCCAGCAGCGCGTGGCGGCAGGAGACCAGAGGGATGACTCCGAGATGCAAAGCCTCACGCAGAACAGATGTGGGAAGCGGGGCGTCACCAGACCCTGCGACCCGAGGCCTGGTGAGCAAGGCATCGAGAGAAACAAGGAACTCGGAAGAAAGAGAAGAGAGAAGTGGGAATATGACGGAAGCACTATGAACACTTGTCCTTACAATGTGATATAAAAGGACAGAGTAATGTTCTTGAGACCAAATGTTCCATGACTAACACTTTGTTTTGAAAAAAAGAAACCAGAGCAAATGGTCTAACAATTTAGTGATAAAAATCTAGAGAAACTAAAGGGGATTTTAAATAATGAAGGATTGCTTTCTGAAGGTCTATAATCTACTCAGGGTGAAGGAAAAAGTCACTGTGATATACAGGACAACGGTCACAAGGCTGAGGCAGGGCTGGGGCTCCTGTCGCTCAGCATGACCAGACAAGGAGCAGAGAGAGACCTGGTGCCCCTGAAAATTGTCGTAACGGACTGCTTTCACGTGCTGGGCACCAGAAGGCATCTGGCGGCTTGGGCCTTATTATTGGATCGGACCCTTTCCACCCTACTCTCTGAGGCCCTGGGCAGTCCGGCTCCTAGAAGAATGCTGGGGTGCAGGCAACGAGAGCACATTCGGAGCGGCGGTCAGAGACGGAGGGCACCGGCGGCACGCAGGGACCGCGTTAACAGCTCACTCTTCAGCTGGATTTCAGGTCCAGTGGGAAGTGGACAGACAGAGAGACACACTGGCTTTATCACGATCACTGGTACCGAGTGGTCCCCTAACGGCACGTGCAGTCACGCCGTCGGTCCCTGACGCACTGCTTTCCCGTCCAGACGGCAGCCCCTCATCTTCTCCGCCTCCTGAGCCCTCACACACCTGCTTCCCCTCCTCATTGTCAGAGGGAGCTCTGCTCCTGTTTTCTGAGAACTACTAGTTCCCACCCATCTCCCCACCTCTGCCTCTGGGCCACAGACTGCCTTTCCTCGGGCTACTGAAGAAGTGCCCGTCCCCTGGCAATGCCCCTCCACCTGGGCAGTGGGCTGGCCCACAATCCTCCTCTCCCTCCCACGCCCTCAGCCCTGAATGCACGAATACGTGCACATGATGTTTGGACGGGCTCCGGCACACAGTGGACACTATGTGTACCAGCTACTAGCAACACCAGCCTTTCCCTGTCCGCTGGGCCTTTCCCAGCTGCATGAAACATGGTGGTTGCTCCCAACTTACAAGCAAAACCTCAGTTCCAATGTCTCCTACTGCCCAATTTCTCCTCACTTTCCAGTAAAACTTCTCTAAGATGCCCAGGTCTCCACTTTCCTGGCCATTCTCTCTTGAACCCAATCCAAACAGGCCTTTATCCTCCCCACTATCACCCTCAGTCCCCAAGGTCACCAGTGACCCCCACCCTGGCTCAGCCCTCACCCGTTACGTCACACAGACTGAATGGAGCTGATTGCTCCCTCCGGCCTCCACGACACCTCCTGTCGTCCTCCTACCTCACCGGCTACTCGTTTCAGCTTTTGTTGAAACTTCTGAGTTCTCCGAGCACTTAATGACGGACAGTTCATGGCTCAGTCCCTGAGTCTCTGCATATCTACACTGCCCCCTGGTGGGTTCATCTAGTCTCATGGCTTTAAATACCAGTCATAGGCTGACAAGTCCCAATTTTTTACTTTTAGCCCAGACCTCTCCTTGAACTTGAGACACATATCTAACGACCTGTTCAACAGCTCCATTCAGATTTTTGTTTGTGTTTTGTTAATGATTTTTAAATAGGAAGGGAGAAGGGGAAATAGAAACATCAATGAGAGAGAACCATTGATTGGCTGCCTCCTGCACCAGGGACCAAGCTGCAACCAGGCATATGCCCTGACCTGGAATCAAACCGGTGACCTCTTGGTGTGCGGCACGCTGCTCAACCACTGAGCCACACGGCCAAGTGCTCCATTCAGGTGTTATTTGCATTTCAAATATGCCCACGCAGAGCCCCTGCCTGCTCTCCTCCAGCGTGTTCCTGCTGCAGCCCCGACCCGCACTGATGAGACTCCCACTTCTCCCAGCTGCTCAGGCCCGAAGCCTGGAGTCACCCTTGACCCCTCTTTCTTCCCCGCTCACATCGAATCCACCATTGGCTCTACCTTCCAAGCATTTCCCGAATCTGACCTCTTGTCACCTGCGCTGCTGCCTTCTGGCCAACGCCATGGCCCTCTCAGCCGGACTGTAGCTGCAGCCCCCCGGCTTCCGCCAGCCCTCAGTCTGTTCCTGCACACTGCCGTGCCGATCAGGTCCCATCGGCCTCCGTGTGAGGCCTCCCTGCTCCTACCCGAGGAAAGCCAGGGCCTCACACGACCCTCCAGACTGGCCCCTGCCGTCTCTCGGGGCTCATCTTCGTCTCCCCCATCCCTCCTGCTACAGTGGCACTAGCCTCCTTGCTGTTGCTGAACACCTGGCCACAATCCCACCTCAGGACCTCTCTCTCTACTTGCTAGCTGTCTCCTTCCGGAGCGTTCCTTCCCCAGATGTCTCTATAAACTGACCCCTGCAGCTTTCAGGTGTCCACTCACTGTCCCCTCTTACTGAGGCCTCCCCAAGCCTACCTGTATAAAGTGTACCCTCCCTGACATTTTCTATTCCCTCCCCCTCCGCCCTCTCCCCAAAGCACTTCTGCTCTGACCATCTAGGTCGCTCACGTCCTGCCTGTCTTCCCCTGCAAAACAGAAGCTCCACAAGGGCAGGGCCCTCCGTCTGTGTGCTCACTGCTGTGCCCGTCATCAGGAGCAATGCCAGCGCTTGGTGGCGGATATACCAACAATCAGATACTTTCTGAATGACCCAACTCAATGCCCAAGGCTGACCTGGAGGAGAGGCTTGCCTGCAGCTACCATCATGCTCCACGACAGGCCCCTCCCAAGCAGAGTTCCCCACTCCAAGACCTGCAGGCATCCCCCTCCCAGAGCCTACCCTGGAAAACGGAAGGCACAGAGGGCAGGGAATACCTCCATCCTGACGGGCCCCTCCCAGGGGAAAAGGGAGGGCTAAGCCTGGGCCTTGTCAGTCCCAACCATCAGCTAAGTCTGCCCCCGGCTTCTGCTGCGGCCCTCCCCCCACGGCCCACCTTCCAGGGAAGACGGGAGAGGAGAGGGACGCCCATGGGTTCCTGGGACGTGGATGGCCCTCCCTTCAGTGAAACTTGAGGAGTGAGAGAGAAGTATTTCCCTATCCCAACACCCCTCAGCATCTTGCTTTCTGAACTAGTTTTGCTTAACAAGGTAACCCCGACAGAATGTACTCTACCTGAGGCAGGAGACCCAAAAGTGAGAAAAGGTGCTGAGCAAGCCCCCCCACCCCCATCGGATCTCTGTGGGGAGAATAGAGTGAGAATGGAGCAGAGGGCCAGGAGCCTGTGCGGCCCGAACAGAACCATCTCCTCGGACGTGAAGGCGGACGCGGTCGAGGACGAGGACAAGGACTCGCTCCAGTGAGAAAGCACGCCACGGTCAGGGCAGACCTGTAGATGACTGATCCAAGAGCACTGCGTGAGTGTACTCCTATGCTATATTTAGATTTAATGGAGCCTCAACTCAGTGAAATGAAAGTCCTAAAGGTTAATTCAATAAACTGATTATTCAATTAAAAGGTGATGTTCCTTTAGGACACATTATACATTAACATTTTAAAGTGGAAAATAACAGTGTGTTATTCTATTAGTAACAAAAACAGAAACCAAGAAAGTTTCCCCTCCGTATTGTTTTGTTGCCAGGATACCGCAGAAATGGTGCATCTACCAGAAGTGGAGACATTGTTTTTAAATGAAATCATTCAGGAGATTCAGCCAGAGGCTACCTAGGTTGCATGCTGTTCTGCTCTAGTAAAATGTCATTGTTAAAACAATTAAACGGGTCAATAAAGTCTGAGCTCTACATTATGGAAAAAATTATAGCTTCCTAATTATGTCAAACTAACATAGCCTTACAGGTCTGAAGGCAATATTTCTAAACATGTTCTTTCAATTCCAGCATCATACTCCCTCCAAAATGCTGCCAGGAGCACTTGGCCACATGGTGCAGGCAGCGGTGGGGACAGGAAGGTTCCACAGTCTGCGGCTGGGGAGGGAGGGAGAACCCTCCCTGTCGGGTGAGAGTACAGGGCATCGGGGCAGCACTTCTGCCCTGGTCCTAGTCCTCAGGTGTCTATGTGCACCCACTCTCCTAGGATGACTTCCAGCCTCCTTCCTCCCCGCCCTCCCAGGGCAGGGGGAGGGGCTCCTCTGATTGACATCCTGGCAGAGGAACAGGGCAAGAACATGGACACAGGGCTAGCCACAGCTCCTCTCTCCCCTCTCTGGGACCTATCTGCTTAGACAGCAGAGGCCCGGCTCTGTTCCTCTCTCAGGTGCTCCAGGGACTGTGACTGCTCAGTGCACCAACGGCTGGCTGAGTGGTGTCTAACTCAGGAGCCCTCGTCAGACCACCCACCTCAGACCCAGATCTCACTAGCAATAGACTAATGACATCCACCTCCACCTCGCCAGCCGGCCTCCTGCACTCCCCCACCCCGGCTCTCTGGCAGGAAACAGAGGCACTTTCCTTTGTAAACCACCCTCCAACTGCATCGCAGGCCAAATGGTGTCCCAAGTCCACCACCATTCACCGAGGTTTACACCAGTGTGGTTACGTTTTCCATTGTTTACGGACTATGAAATTAGTCTTTGATATACAGACACCCCTTCAGAAATAAAATGTACACTGCCATCTAGTGTTGACCAACTATTTGAACTAAGAACTTTTCTTGGTACTACACGTTAGGATAATAATTATAGTATATTTTAAAATTATACAAATGAATAAAACTATACAAATGAAATACACTTAAATGTGTAAAGTTGCCTATGTTGTTTCAGCAGACAAAGTGTCGGAGGCTACTTAGAATTCACCTGAGATGTAATTATTTTTTCTGTTAAAGAGTCTGTACAAAACATTTTCATTTGTATATTTTGTCAAGGTTTTTTTCAAAACCAAACGTTTTGCTTTTCACTCCCAGCTCTGAGGGAGGAAAGGCTTTGGCGCAAACACCCTTGTTTCATGGAGAGGAGACCCGTCGAGCCGCTCCCGATGCCCCATCCCCGAGGTCCAGTCCCACCTCCCAGCTCTGAGGGAGGAAAGGCTTTGGCGCAAACACCCTTGTTTCATGGAGAGGAGACCCGTCGAGCCGCTCCCGATGCCCCATCCCCGAGGTCCAGTCCGACCTCCCAGGCCTCGCTTAACACGGGGACTGCGCCCTGGGGCCACGGAGGCAGGGAGAGCAGGAGACGAGACCCACGCAGCAGTGGTCCTGTCTGCTGAGGGGGGGTCTGTTCCAGAAACCAGCTCAGAACCTCGGTCAAACGCTTTCTCTTTTTAAAAACCAGCCTCACCAGAACCCCCTGGAGGCCAGAGCTCCTCTCCAAACGCGCTCGACCCGCTGGCACCACGCCTTCCTGTGCCCAACACACGCCGACCGAGGGGAGCTCTGTGCCGCTCACTTCTTGCTCACTCTGGGGGACCCAAAGGGGGAATGTCGATGTGGGGGTATCGGAGTCTGAGGGGGCTCTGCCAGAGCCACCCTGGATCCGAGGCCCCTCCGCCACACTGACCGTCCCACGGCGACTCTGCGTGTGGGTGAGAGGCGAGGACGCGGCACGGAGAGAACGGTCAGCGAGGGCGCGGCGCAGAGCGGGCTCACCTGTGAGCGCTGATGTAATCTTTCCTGTGCTCCAGGAGAAAATCTCTCAGTTTCCCGATGTGTGAAATCTAAAATGAAAAGAAAAAAAGTTTATATAGATAGATGTTACAATTACATGTAATGAACTTGAAATTAATAGCAAATGGAATGCAGGTTATGGAAAGATTTTCAAACTACAAACTGGATAACTTTGGCTTTAGACTCTCGTAAACTAATTTGTTGGGTGACTTTGCCAGTCACCCACATTCCTGGCCTTGGTCTCTCTTGAATGGTTCTTTCTTCCTGTAATTGTTGTGATCTATGACATGAAGAAATGATCTCTAAGGACCTTCAAGATTACGTGGAATTCTCTTTTTTATGTCTCTTTCTGAAACTGGATCGCCAGGAGAGCTGGGACAGGGACTCTGGGGCTGCAGCTCTCACGGTTCTGAAAAGGGCCCATGTCAAGCGCCATCAGGAGATTCGGGCAACAGCTCACCCCTGCCAGCAGTCCTCGCCGCCCTGATGGCCCACATCCCTGGGCGGACCCGGAGAACACAAAGCACAGAGCTGACTTCTAGCATCGCAGACCCCACTCTAAAGCACCCACCACGTGCCAAGTACTGTGCGTGGAGCTGTGAATGAAAACAAATGGGAAAAAAAAAGCCCTGGCCGGTCTGGCTCAGCGGTTGGAGCGTCGGCCTGCGGTCCAGAGAGACCCGGGTTCGGTTCCTGCTAAGGGCACGAACCTTGGTTGCAGTTTGTCCCCGGCCCTGGTTGGGTCATGCAGGTGGCAACCACTTGATGTGTCCCTTTCACGTCACTGTTTCTCTCTCCCTCCCTCCCTCCAACTCTATCTGAACAAAATATGCAAAAGTGTCCTCAGGTGAGGATAAAAAAACAAACAAACAAACAAACAAAAAAACAAATGAAATAAAAGAGGCAGGACGAAACCTCGGCCCATGGTGGACAGGGAAGAAAGTGTTTCCAGAAGGAGGGAGGGATGAGCTAAGCCGGTAGCTGCTCTGTCCTTTGACCACTGCTCAGCTGTCTTCCTCCTCAAGCTCTCGGTACTTACTCCAGACACAGACAGCCCAGCCTAGAAGGGTCTGCTCAACTCTCACCTCCCCCATGAAGGTTTTCTGTCAAGGCCAACTCAGGCCGATTTCACTTTGCTCTGAACTTGAGAGTAGTTCTGCACCCCCCAGCCGCACCCAGTGACCCCAGTTGTTCTCTGCATTAACTCTCGCACGCGTGCATGCTTGTTGGGGATCACGAGCCATGCAGCGAAGGGTGCACAGCTTCCCACACAGCTCTGAACACAACATGAAGCAAGAGGGGTCAGTAAGTATTTGTGCGTGAGCATACGTCTGAATACAAAAATGCTATTTATCACAAAAGAAACATTCAGTGGTTGTCTAGAGATAGGTCAGTAGGGGTTTGGTCAAATTTCCTACAGAGTCTGGAATAATTACAAATGCAGTTCAGAGAAGTGGCCTCAGGCGTCTCAAGAGCAGGAATCAAAGGAAAGGGAAGTACTGTACAACCCTCACTGGTTTACCAGGTACCGGGCTGCCAGGTGCCTGCACTCACAGCAGCCCTCTTCCCAGCAGGCCTGGCGGGCCCTGACCTCGCTGCTCTCACTCACCGTCAGGGAAGGGGAGCCTCACAGGAGCTGCACAGTCAGTGCTCGGTGGAGCTGGACTCGAATTCAGGACTGCCCGAGTTCACATTCGGCATTTCGCAGCAACCACAGCTGCCTTACACCCCTAGTCCTGTTTTCCACTTAAACTGCATTACAGAATCTGACTTTTAAGTCTGGTGGGCAAAGAATTTAAGAGCTGTGCAAACAAGGTGTTTGCATTACATACAAATGTGATCAAATTGCTCTCCTATTTTATGTTTTACTCTCCATTTGAAAACGTTCAGTGGTTTCCATCCCTGACCAGCAGACAGGGGCCAGGTAAACAACATAAACAAGTAGCGCAACGGAAGTGCACGGCTGAGGACATCTGGCGGAGGTGGGTGGTGGTGAGCGCTGGTTTAAAGTACATTGCAGCCCAAGGAAGCAGCTCTGCAGGCCGACTGGCCAAAGGGCAGCCAGCGCGCAACCTCTGGGCCTAATCAATAGGGTCAAGTCCAAACTCCAAATACAACGCTCAAGGCCCTTCACAATTCAGCTGCAGAAGTCCCGTGTGCACTCAGTCCCTACCACGCCCTTCCATCCCAACTCCAAGTCCCAGGGCTTCCCAATATGCACACTGCGTGGTTCTCCCTTGCCCTGGAGTGCCCCATCACCTTCGCTCTAATGCAAACCCCTCCTCCTCCGAGATCCTCCTTGCCTCCCTTCACCCACTCCGCACGCCCCGGCACAGCCAGACCCCATCCACACACGTGCATCTGTGCCAGCACCTGTCCCTCCATGGTGACGCTACCAATGGGCTGACTGCCCCCCACCAGACTGTGAGCTCCTAGAACGGGTCCTCTCTTTCCTCAGAGCTTAGCAGGCACAGTTCTTGGTGCAAAGCAGAACCTCAGCTCTTTTACCAAAAGTTGAATAAACAGTGGGTACTGCAGAATCCCAAAAGGATTATACTTACTGTGGTAGGCAGAATAATGCCACCGCCCTCCCCCAAAGATGTCCAAGTCCTAATCCTTGCAACCTGTGAACATATATTATGGGGAATCAACGCAGCAGATGGGATAAGGCTGCCATCAATTGACCTTGAAGAGGGAGATGACCCTGGACTAGGCAGGGAGGTGGGCCCTACCTCATCACAGGGTCTTTACATGTGGAGAAGGGCGGCAGGGAGAGTCAGAGGGATGCAATGGAAGGACTTGATCCAACACTGCTGGCTTTGAAAGGAGCCAGGCAGTGAGGGCGGCCTGGGAAAGGCCAGGAAATGGACTCTCCTCTAGAGTCTCCCTGGAAGGAAGACAGCCTGGCCCACACCTTGCTTTCAGCCTATGGAGTCCCATGGTGGACTTCTGACCTAAGACCTGTAAGATAATAGATGTGTGTTGTTTTAAGCCATGAGTTTGTGGTAATTTCTTTCTTTCTTTTTTTTTATCCTCACCTGAGGACATTTTTTTCCCCATTTTTTGTTCATATAGAGTGGGAGGGAAAGAGAGGAAGAGAGAGAGAGAGAGAAACATCGACGCGAAAGGGACACATCGAGTGGCTGCCACCCACACGACCAACCAGGGCCAGGGCCAAACTGCAACAGAGGTACGTGCCCTTAGCGGGAACCAAACCTGGGTCTCTCTGGACCGCAGGCCAATGCTCTAACCACTGCGCCAAACCGGCCAGGCTGTGGTAATTTCTTATAGCAGCCATGAGACACTATACCCTTGGCTGAAGCTGGGCAGCTGACACAAAATACTGCCGGCTGGGTGGCTTGAGCACCCGACACTCATCTCTCCCCGCTCTGGGGGCTGGAGTCCAAGGTCAAGGTGCGGGCAGATGCGGTGTCTGGGGCAGCCCTCCTGGCTTGCACATGCTGCCTTCCTGCCGAATGTGCACATGGTGGGGAGACAGCCCCTCTCTCACGTCTCCTCTTAAAGGGCACTAATCCCATTTGAGGGTCTCCACCCGCATGACCTAATCACCTCCCAAAGGCCCCATCTCCAAATATCATCACATTGGAGGTTAGGACTCCAACATATGAATTCGGGGGGACCCAAACATTCAGTCCATAGCATACCTCCTTAGGGCCTTAATATCCAAAATGGATTTTTTTTTTGGAGTAAAAAAGTTTAAGGAAAGTTTTGAAAGGAATCTACTGCATGGGCTCGATCCAGCAGCCACCCCTCCACTCCACCCCCATGTTCAGCTCGTTCTAGGCTACCAGGGGGAAGGGTGCAGGGGGGATGCCAGGAACAAGAAGGCCTCTCGGGCATCTCAAAAACACAATTACAACAGGTTTCACTCAAATATAACAAATGCGATCCCAACTTCTTATGCTCTGTAATGGCAAATGTCTATAAAATGGACTTGTAACAATGGAGCTAAGCATATGCAGGATTAAATGGCATTCCTGGTGAGTTAAGAGGGGTTAAGTAATTACCATATCATCAGTATAATAACTCAGTACTTAACATGAACACAATGTATAAAGTAACATTTCAAATACCAAGATTGAAAAGAAATAAACAAGCATTAAGATTTCTGTAGGTATTTGACAAACCTGAAAATTTATCAGCTTCCTAAAATAAACACACAGAAGTCACAACAGATCAATAACAGAGAAAAAATTCCACTAGGTCTTTGATTTACCTACATAGGCAACTTAAGCCCACAAATACATCATAGGACAGGATTATCTTCATAAAGAAGAACCTGACAGTTTAATCACCTGACTGCCACCATTTCTGAAAAAATTCTTGGCCGAGCTCTGGTTAGTTTACTATTGTGCTTAAGCCCCATTTTTGAGAATAAACCACAAAGATAGCATATTATATTTCACCCACTTCTGATATGCCCCTGGCATTTTCAAAGCTTTAGAGAGGTTACCTAGTTGGATGCTTTGGACTTTGAATATTTCCATATAGAGTACTAATTTTGAGAGTGTCCTATACATGTGTATCTACAGAGAATGCCTCTTACTCTTAAGAGGAGAAAGGCCATCATTCCAGTGTCAAGTTTGACAAGAAAATCAGAGTATAATGAAAGTGCATTTGCCCCATAAAAATCTAAAACTAGTTTCAGGTTCTCAGTCTCTATATCATCGAATGACGTGGGCAGTAGGGCAGGGACAGGCTTCCTGGGAGGGAGGGTCACTGGGAAAGTGTCTGTGGGGCCAGGTAGGTGACACAACGCAAGGGCTACAGTCAGGGAGTGCTGTGGGGGCCGAGCCATGAGTGGGGCATTCCAGACTTGGGCAGGCGAGGGGCAGGCTGTTCCCATGGCTCCACGCCTTTGTGGCTGCTCCTTCTCCACTCGGAACAGCCTTCTGCCTTTCTGCCAGCCCCATGCCACCCAAAGCATCCTTCCAGGTTCTGGTTAAGTGCCACCTCTCTTAGAATTTCATACATACCTGCCAACACTTTCCACATTATATGGGAAGTATTTATCTACAACCAGACTTCG